GAATGCACTCGATTATTTTATGTAAAAAATCTTTACCTGAAAAGTGTATCTTGGAACAGAGTTGTAACGTTTCCTCATGGTCACATTCTATGTCCCTGACCCATATCTGAAAAAAAAAAAAAAATCGGTTCAAATTATATATGACCGGACCCGGTTTAGATAACAAAGGGCAATGTGCTTACCCGACAGGATAGGCGCTAGTACCATCCATATGCCAAGACAGAATCGATCTCTCGTCGTTTTGGAAAACGATTTCGACGAACTCATGGAGCTCAATGTCGAAAACCGATGTACCAAAATGAGCTGGTCCGATTGTAGGAGTGCTAATGATTGTCTTCAAATCGAATACACCGGATATGTTATACCAATCGGCGAGTTTTAATGGTGTTATTGGGTTGATGTACGAAATTCGGTTTACCGTGTACCGAAGCTTCCCGTAGATCATCGTAGCCGCATTGGCTAGGACTAGAGTTCGGTTTATCGGTATTGTACCGTAATGAAATGATCCTTGTGGGTTTGGCCTTGCAGAATTTGCCGTCAAATTCATCCTAAAATTTCAGCAACTAAAATTAAACAAAACCCAAAATATTTTTCCGGTTTGGTTCGGTTCGGCTAAATTTGGTATTGATACCTGATGGTTCTTGCTTGTTTCATGGACCAATGGATATGGTAAGTTGGACCAATGGGGAGGGGACCATATGCAGCGTTTTTGGAGCCTAGGTAACGGAGACTCGCGGTTGTGTTTAGTATCGGTTTAGTAAATCGGGTCGAGGCCACGATGTTACGGACTGACCAACGTCGACGTCAAGCGACTCATAGCTCTCTTGAAGACTGTGAGCGCCTTCTACTTCAATGAGGCTCATTGTATGATTTTGAATCCTAAAGTTTATCGATGTCGCTATACCGACATTCGATACCCGAAACTTATATGTTTTACCTGAAGATAAACGAGGACAAGAAAACATTAAAAAACATCGAAGATTAGTACAAGACCATGGGAAGTAACCAAAAAACGGATCTTGATTGATTCAAGTGATGATATTACCTTGTTGACCGGTAAAGATTAAACCATTAGAAACACCATTGATAAGAAGAGCATCAGGAAGAGGAAGAGCATAGCCTGCGTCTAGCCGCTTTCGCAATTTCTAATGATCACAAACAATAATAATAAACATTAGTGCATTTATATACAATTCTTAGTATAAATAGTTTTGTGTTGGTAGTGTACCTTGTGGCTCATTTGGAACCAGTCAGTGACTAGGAGAGTGAAATCTCCATCAGGTTGATCATAAGGAGTGGTAATAACGGATCTCTGGTTAATGTTGAGAGCACCAAAAGCACCACTGGCTCGGTGCATCGATGTGGAAGCGAAGTAAGTGTAAGTCCCGATTTGGTCTTTAAGTTGAAACTGATAAGTCCAGTTCGAGTTTGGTTGAATTGGACAGTTTGTTCCCAATACTCCATCTTGCCACGATGTTCTCCTCTGCTTCACTCCATTCCTACACATATTTATAACTTATAAATGAGTTTTGTCTAAGTGCAATTAGCTGAAATGGTTATAAGGGTATTTACCATGTGATGAGGAAAGGTTCGTCGAGTTTGTTAATAAGATTAACAACAATGTTATTGTTTGTAACAGCTTCAATCGCTGGACCAGGAAACTGATCATTGATAAGTATGACCTAAATCGTACCAAAACATAGAAATTAATACATTAAGTAATGTTTTTTTTTTAAAGACCTTGGAAGTTCCGGATCTTTGATCCATAATCTCNCNNGGTGNCCGNGACTAGCCGTTGATAATACNNCATTTAANGCNTAAANCATNCCNCNCAAGTGNANTTGAACTAGTGACCTTGAACTTGAGAATTTACTCTCAAGACCACTAGGCCACCAACCACTTGGTTACATTAAACAATGACATTGTTTCTCATAACAATGTCATTTGTTTTTTTTGCAAATATTCTCATAACAATGTCAAAGAGTGTATATATATTTATTACCTGTTGAGGAACACCTAAAGAACACCTAACCAAAATAACAAGGTTTCTGTGAATATTTTACATAGTAGGAGATTGGTGGTTTGTTTCATCTTTTACAAGATTCAAGATCAAGAATTAGATTTTGTTTGTTTGTGAGTCTATGTTTGAGGTTGCACCTAGGGACAATCTTAAATACACGTACGAAGTTAAGAGTAACTAAAATTAAGTTAGTATTTTATTAAGTTTTGCCAGAGTGGACGATGTGGATCCCCATGCATCACGCGAAAGCACTTCATAGCTCTTTTGCGGCGTACTTCATGCAAATGCTTGCCTTTGAAAACTTTTTAATAGATTGAGATTTGTAATTAAAATAGAAATGTGTACCAAAAAATACTCAAATTACTAAGTTTTCTTTGTCGGCAAGAGTATATCTTCATTTTTAGATTGTGCAAAAGAACAAAAATGAACCGATTTTCAAAAGAAACTAAAAAGTATCCGGATTTTAATCTGTCATATGGAAGTGAAAGGCATCAATAGTAAAGAACTTAATTAGAAAACACCAATGCAACACAATATTTATTCACCAATATATAAATTAACATCTACACACTAGAAGCTTATGGAATACAAGTTTTAAATTTTTATCAATACTAGGCAGACATTTTGTTAAACTATGAGAATACTGATTACGAATACAAGTGTGGATGTCTATGTTGAGATTTGACTTTGGGAGTGACAACTTTAAAATTATAGAAATAACTAACAAAGTTTGGAAATGTAGATCTTGATCTATGATTAAATTCTTTGTTCCCTCCAACATCAAATGCTTAAATAAATAGGTTGACTTTTGCTTTGATGTATGCACATAGTTAATTAAGAAAATCAACGAATCACGAGCACATAATTAATTATGTTCTCAAATGAATAAAAACATAAAATTAAGGTAAATAGAGAGTGTGCTTCTATCTCACGAGATTCCAATTAGCATTATAAAATAATGTTTGCTAAATATAAAATTATGAAGGTGGAGTCAAACCAAATGCTTAAGCATGACTCGGAACCATGAGACATAGTGATGCATCCCTAGAAGAGATCACATAAATAGAAGAGAAATCAACTCTCATTAATCACATATGAATTCGTTACCACTATGCTCGCTTGTACCATGTGAATTTATATCCTACTTGTTTATACAACATAATATGTATATATACACAATTTGTACTTACGTTAATACATGCATGTGTATGTATGCGTCCTCACTCCTCATCTTACAAACTTGAGAGTAGAAAATCGATTTTAGAGCCATTAATGAATTCGTCCTTTTTATTTGGAATTTAGGAAGTTTCATGCTTTTGTTCCATAATCTCTTTAAGTTTAATGTTAATTGTATGTACATTAAGGTTTTACAAACATAGAACCGTATTCAATTTCTCTAACTAATTTGCAAATTGTAGTATAAATCTTAGTGCTTAAATTGGATGTCAAATAGTTTATCTTGTTACCAATAGTCTCTACAAGAACATTGTCCATTCTCAAAGCAATGAAACCGAGTCGAGTCCCTTACTGTTATCTTCCTCTTTGTGATCTTCGATATGAACTTAATTGCACTATGACAATCAACACAAGACCTCAAATTCTTAAACACCTTAATCGCGGTTCCTTCTTGTGTCGATAAAATCGCAAACGCAACAGCGAGTTTCTCGCTATGGTACACAAGATTCTCTTCTTTCTGTTCATCTTCTACGTCGTGCAATACAAGATTCGTAGCGGGAACATACCCTTCTTCTTTCATCTTCTTCGTCAGTTCACCCAAACACTCAACTATTTGGTTATGCATTGGATGTGAAGTATCCGCAGCCATGAAAACATGACGCTCCCGTTTGATCTCTGTCCAGCTTGAACCAGGACTCTTTGTGACTCCGATATCGCGCATTCTCTTTCTCATTCTTACTTCTTCCTCCCACTTTCCTGCTGCAGCATAGATGTTAGCCATTGTAACATAAGTAGCGGGATTTTCGGGTTCTATCTTGAACAGTTCTTGAGCCGCTTCCTCAGCTAGATCAACATTTCCGTGCGTGCTGCACCCACCAAGCACAGAAGCCCAAAGAAATTTGCTCGGTTTCATCGGCATTTCACTGATGATGCTCGTCAATTGTTCGAATCTCCCAGACCGAGCTAATAGATCAACAAGACAAGTGTAATGATCATCTGTATGCGATAACCCGTGTTTCTCTGTTATCGAATGGAAGTATTCGAGTCCTTTTTCGACCAATCCAGCATGAGTACAAGCTGAGAGGACATTTACAAAGGTAATGTGATCAGGTTTGGTACCGGATTTAAGGAGCAAGTCGAAGTACTTTAAGGATTTCTCAGGTTCCCCATTCTGGGCATACCCGCCGATCAAAGAAGTCCAAGAAACTAAATTGGGTTTAGGACATCCATCGACAACGTGTTTTGCGCTCTCAATGTTTCCACATTTTGTGTACATATCTACAAGAGAGCTTGATGCAAAAGAGGAGGGATCAAACCCAATTCTAGTCATGTAACCATGAACTTGCTTCCCTAGCTCCTCTGATGTTAGATCAGCGCAAGCGTTCAATACTCCAGCAAAAGTGTACTCATTGGGCCGTGTACAAGAACCTACCAACTCAGAAAACAAAGAAAACCCTTCTCGCCATCTACGTGACTTGAAATATCTATCTATCATTGACGTCCATGAGACAACATCTTTGTCGACTATCTTATCAAATATGTTTCTTGCTTCCTCAACACAGCCACATTTTCCATACATATCCATCAACGAACTCCAGAGAACCTCATCAGAATCCAAACCAGCTCGAACGATATGCCCATGAATTTCCTTCCCACTACGAATACATGGAATCGAAGCAGCAGCAGCTACCGCGCTGGAAACCGTAAAAACGTTAGCTTTTGAATTCGGTAACTTTTGCATCAAACTATACAGCACCAATGCATCTTCAGGCTGATTCTTCTTAGCATACCCTGTAACCATAGCAGTCCACGAATAACTATCTCTTTCAGGCATTTCATCAAACAGCTTTCTCGCTTCCTCAACCAACCCAACCTCCGCATAACCATTTACCATTATATTCCACGAACACACATCTCTCTGCGGCATTTCATCGAACACGTTCCGTGCATCAACCAAGCTACCACATTTCGCATACATACCCAAAAGACGATTCCATATAACAACTCCAGGTACAAACCCAGATGTTTTAATGTGTTCATGTACCTTTTTACCTTCTTCAAGCGCCCGTGTTTGGCTACAAACTTGTATAAGACTGCAATAAGTAGAAGCAGGTGGCTTCTTCACTCGACCCAGAAGCTGAACAGCTTCTCCCAAATGCCTCTCCTCACACAAAACATCAATGGCTTCACCAAATCTCTTGTTTTTACATAATCGATCGACAACACCATCGTCTTCTTGGTTCGATTTGAAGAACTTTTTGTTAGGAAAACGCTTCTTGAAATCGATCTGTGTAGAATAAGAAGATGAAAGATTTCTCTTGAACATCACTCCATAAAAATTACTAATTTTTCTTGCATTCGAATAATTCATCTTTACGAGCATCCAAAAAAAAAAAAAAAACTCAGAAGTCGGAATGTAATTCTCGTCGCCGGCTACATAACGGCGGCAAAAGAAACCTTCAACTAAGAAAGTTCCAAAAGTGTCTCTTTTTTATATTAAAAGCAAAATAAAAACAAAAAAAAACTCCGATGCCGGGAATCGAACCCGGGTCTCCTGGGTGAAAGCCAGATATCCTAACCGCTGGACGACATCGGATGTGTTGATGGTAATAACAAATATAGCTATCTAAATCGTTTTTGTATGTGGAATTACTTTTTTTTTTTTTGTTATCGTTTTATAAAAAAGAAAAATGGAATCATTCAAAGCTCTTTGTTCCTTGTTTGTCAAGAGAAAACAGCATCTTATTTGATTGATTATTCATCTTTACAAGATAAAACTAAGACCATCCAAAACACTTAGCTTTTGAGTTGTGAAGAATGAAAGAATCTTTGAAAATATCAATTGTTTTTACTAATAATATCTCTTTAGATAGTACAAGTGATTAAAACATATGTGAAATTATCCACTAATTTTACTGTTATTGATACAATTAGTAAAATATTTCAACAAGTACAACTTCTTCAAATGTAAGAGACAAGAGTTTTCAGATGTGTATTTGGATTTTTTTTTGTGTTTTTGCATAAGGTTTCTCTGCTAAAGGGTTTCCTTGCTATAATTATTATTAAAATTTTCAGAAAAAAATACCACATCATGAAAAATATGATACCATGTAAAATCCTTGCTAAGGTGGTGGGCTAGTGGTAAGGGGCTTGGGTGAGAGGATGATCTTTCCCACTCGCTGTTATCA